ACCACTCTCTATTTATATGGTCAGAACTACCTAGCATTCCCAAAGTTTGACTATGTTTTGTAAGAGCAGAGGAAGATGGGATATGTTGATGGCAGGATACAGGCCCGCCTATTTACCACTGACTCCAAGTTATGAACAATGGGAGATTACCAAACTCTTTAATTATGAGTTGGCTATCCATTCGATGGTTCCAGAACTTGGTGAGGGCTACTTGTCTTATGGAGGACTGCCCAGGATGTTTGGGAGGCTGTGGCTGTTACCTATTCCGCAAAATGGAATTTTTCACAGGCATTTGAGTTGCGCCGCTCTATTGAGAGCACACTTCAGGGGGAGCAAACTGTTTCTTCAGTACTTCACTTTCCTCACCAACGGCTGGAAACCGCCTTGATCACTGGAAGACTTATAAGCCCGTTTGCCCTACTTGATTCTATCGGGTACAAGAAGTTCATCGCACACAGGACGGGTCTTTAAATTTTTGGCCGGCCCTAAATGTGGAGTATGATCCAGTTAGGGGTCGGGTTCTGAGTATGGAACTCCTTCCTTCACTTCAGGAAGGCATTTTCTATGTACAAAATGAGGAGAGTCGCGGTCTGCCCCTTATGATAGTCCCCTGTCTCTACTGACCGTTCACCCACCGCATTACTGTTCTACTCCTCGAGATGGCCTTCAGCCCTTGAACCTCATCCGTCTGCCCTGCTAGGAGTCTGTCTTTTTGTGATTATTGCAAGAAGCGCGCGGCATTACTCGTGAGACGTGTTGGAAGCTTCATGGGACTCCCTCCGCGGTCGTAGGGCGCAGTGATAGGTCTGGTTCTCGAGGAGGTCGTCAGGTTCCATCTAGGGGACGTGGTTCCTATTCCCGGGCCTCATCAGTCTAGGCCGGTGATACCCTTGCATAACTACTTCTACTTCTGTACCCAAGCTTCTGCATACTGAGCTGGAGGATGCTTTGCGCCAATTGTTGGACCGCCATCTTCTACTGCTCTCAGTACCGCTTCCTCGTCCTTTGCCCGCTCAGCGTTAACTTAGCAATCTTCTCCTTTGTGCCTTTTCTTGTGTCATACACTCTTTGCCTTGGATTATTGATTCTGGTTGCCTCAGATCATATGTCTGGCTCCCTGTTCTTTCTCTGTCTATAAGCCCTCTTCAGGTCAGACAAAGTTAGGCATTGCCGAGGAAACTGTTTCTTCCACTTTCTGGCAAAGTTTAGTCCAAGTCCACTCCTTACCAACATCTATCTTCTGTTCTCCATGTCCCCAAGTTTTCTGTTAATCTATTATCCTTAAGTTCGTCTTTACCCAGGGATTTGAATTTGTCGTGTGACTTTTTCCTGATCATTGTCTTTTTCAGGACCTTGTCACGGGGAGGACGATTGGCAGTGGTAGTGCAGCAAATGGTCTCTACTTCCTAGATCAACCGGAACAAACATTGCTTATTCTTCACCACGTCTTCTTACTACCCCGCTTGATGTAGGCTATGGCATGCGGACGTCTTGGGCATCCCTCCTTTCATTTACTTAAGCATTATTTCCTGTCCAGTTTCGCAAATCATTCAGTGCTGACTTTCTTTGTGAGTTTGTCAACTTGGAAACAAAACATAGAAGTTCTTTTGCCTCCCAGTTTGAATAAAAGTTTGTTCCTTTTTCATTAAACATTCTGATGTTTTGGGGGTCCCTCTCGTGTTCTGTCTGTGAAAGGTCATCGCTGGTTTGTTACAGTTATTGGATGATTTTTCTCGTGCTACTTGGTGTATCTCATGAAAGATAAAAGTGAGGTTTTCTCTGTGTTCGCACTTCATAAAGATGACCTTTGTACTCAGTTTGGGCGGCCACTATCAAAAATCTTTCGTTCTGATAATGGCGGGGAATACATCGATTCTGGTCTAGGACAATATTTCTCTACTCATGGCATTATCCATCAGACCTCTTGCCCAAATACCCTCAAACAGAATGGGGTGGACCGAACGCAAAAATCGAGCATTTCTTGACATGGCTCGGTGCATGTGTTATGCATGTGCCTCGACCCTATGGGGCGACCTGTTCTCCACCGCTGCCCATCTTATTAATCGTCTCCCTACCCAAGGTCTTGCCAACAGGCTCCGCTTCACGTCCTCCTCAGGTTCTCAGTCCTTGTTTTCAATCCTCCA